ACTACGTACTACTACTACTACTACTACTACTACTACTACTACTACTCTACTACTACTCTACTACTACTACTACTACTACTACTACTACTCTCTCTACTCTCTCTCTCTCTCTCTCTCTCTCTCTCTCTCTCTCTCTCTCTCTCTCTCTCTCTCTCTCTCTCTCTCTCTCTCTCTCTCTCTCTCTCTCTCTCTCTCTCTCTCTCTCTCTGTGTGTGTATGTGTGTGAACGTGCACGCGCATTTGTGTATAAGGTGCATTTCATATTATGCGTCAACCTTCAAAAATCAAAGTAAGGAGCACCTAAAACCCTGCCCGAAGATGTATTCCGGTCCAGAAAACACTACGATGTCCTAAAACTATATTTCCACCCCTAATTATGAAATTCAAAACTCTAAATTGGTGCAGATTGAGCAGAAGTCAAAATTATACACTTGAAATTCTTGATAATGGACGGTCCAAATAATATGTTAGGACTTAAAATCCTCGTTTTTCTATATCCATACATCTCTTGATGATCAGTGGAGGTTTTTCCAACATCAAAACAAACCTTTTCTTAGCGGGTTTCTGAGGTGCATCTGACGTTTACAGCAATGTTGACACCATTGTTCCAAAAAATGCCCTCTGCAGTGCCAAAGCATCCAAAGGGCCCTAGGCCGCACGCCTAGGCCAGCACGGTCCTTTCAGGGGGCCAGTCCCTGGGCGAATGCCCAGGCAGCCTACGCAGTCACACAACGCCCAGTTCTAGGAGGGCGCCCAAAGGCCTACGCCCTCTTTTGTAGAAATAAAAAAGCCCCTCTGGGAGTTTGCGTATTTTCGACCCACAAAATAGAGTAAAAGGGGTTTTTAGGGGTATACTAAACTCCCAAAGTGAAAAAAAAAAAAATCCTCAAATTTAAACCCTAGAAACACCCCAAATCGATTGATTGTTTAAAGTTTCTTTGAAACAAAAAATAATTGTGAACCAGCATCCAAAAGCTTACCCTTTCTTATTGCTATTTTTTTAAGAGTGCTAGCGAGGCCATTAGAAGACTTTTGGGATGATTTATAGCTCAACCAACATCAAAGAATAGAGATCGTGCAAAAAGGTTAGATTATAAATTACAATCTATATTTGAGATTCCTTTTCTGGATTTGAGATGCCTTCCTCGGGATCTACTGGTCGTGGGCATCCGTGATCGAATTGTTGTGTTAACCTAGATAAAAGTGACAAAAACAAAATAATGTGCAATTTTTTTGGACATGTCTCAAATGCCAGAATACATAGGTTCCAAAAATATCTTGCCGGTATTAGAGAGGATATTATCCCATATAAAAAAGTTCCCAAAACTTGTAAAGAAAAAGATTGTTAAGTACATAGGAGCTGAAAAAATAAACAATTAATGAAAGAGAAGGATATAGCAGAATTCAGGGTGGGGGTTAATATTTTTGATGAAGATGATGATGAGGATGATGAAGGGGAAGAGGAAGTTGGCCAGGTGGCAATCTCTCGGAGTTCTGGAAGGGGTTTTGGGTCTAAGAGGCCTTGTATGAAAGGTCCATTGATGCTTTCTTTATACCTAACCCTGAGGCCGCAGCTGAGAAAGGGACGAGCAAAGGGAAGAAGCAAGTGCCATTAGAAAATAAAATCAAGAAGGAAGATAGACATCAGGTAATTAACTATATTGCTGGGCAGTTTTATCAGGTGCGCATTCTTTTAATACCGCTCGCTTAACTAGCTTCCATGCAATGTTTTGCTTTTTTAGTATGCTTCTATACCATGTTGGGCGCAATTGGCCAAATTGGGCAACGGTTGAAAGGCCCAACCCCATATGAGCTTTTAAAGCTACTACTGAAGAAACAGGTAAAACACACTAAGGAGTACCTCAAGTCCCATTAAGCAAGAGTGGGCTCAATCTTGGGTTTCCATAATGATTAATTCATGGACTGACAGGAGGAAAAGGAGTATCATGAACCTGTTGGTGGATTGTCCCTTGGTACAATACTTTTTAGATCCATTGATGCTTCTCAAGAAGTTCGTGATGCACATTATATATTCTCTTTTGTTGATAAGGGCATTGAGGAGTTTGGAAGGAGCATGTAATTCAAGTTGTCATAGATAATGCTGCTCCTAATTTAGCTATAGCTTATTTGCTTTGCCATAGGAGGCCTCGTATATGGACAACTTGTGATCCACATTGCATAGACCTTATGCTTGAGGCTATTGGCGACATGCCGAGTGTTAAAGGCACACATTGTAAGGCTAAGGAGGTCACAATTTTCATGTACATCCATAACTATTACCCTTAATATGATACACAAGTTCACAAAAAAGGAGAAGCTAGTTAGTGCCAGGGTCATTAGATTTACTATTGCTTCCTCGAGTCTTATATATAATAGGACGATCCCATTGACATACATGTTCACTTCAATGGACTGGTGCAAATGCAAGTGGTCTAGGGATCCCAAAGGAAAGAGGGTTTGTGATATTATTTTTTCTAAGGTTTTTTGGCGTGGGGTATAAAGTACACGTTAACCGTATTCTACCTTTGGTCAAGGCTTTGCACTTGATTGATGATGACAAACTATGTTCAAAGAGTTGGCTTCCTAACTACCTGGTCAGGCCACTCAGGCGGCTGGGAGGCCTCACGGGCCCAATGCGGGGCGCTGACCCTGGGCGGCCTACTAGTCGCGTAGGAAGCCCTTCTGATGAGGGCCAGAACTGACATTTCCCCCCTTGAAAGGGGGTGGGGGATATAGTATTTGAGGTGCATTTTGGCCCCCTCAAAACCCCGGACAACTATTCCTTTGCCTAAAAAACAAATTTTTTAGCGCAAACTCAATATCGTTTTTAAGGATGGAAAATCGTAATCAAAATTTTGGGTTTCTTGAGGAATCAAGAGGTATTCGACCCAAAATTTTTTGGGGATTAAAGAGGTTGCAAAAGAGAGCTTTTGGCAACTGAAAGTGGCCAATTCAAGCCTACTTCGATTGGTTTTCGAAAGGTTAGTAAATTTAATTGTTTATGCTTAGGGTTTCACATTTTTTCTTAGCATTGCGTTATTTCATACTTTTTATCATTTTCTAGTTTTTATTTTTGAAGTTTGGCTTAATATTTATGTTGAAACTTCATTAGTGTTGTTTTTTTTTTTTTTTTTTTAAGGTTTGCTATTTTTGTGATTATAATATATTTTTGGCTATGTTTCTACTTGATAATGCACATTTGAAAATTTATAATATATTTTCTACTATATTGGCATTGTTTCTAATTTATGATGCAAATTTGAAATTTGAAAACAACCCCACAACCTCCCTCAGCTTTTCTTTCTCCTCAACCCCTCCATGCAGTAGCCGCCCAGGTCATGCTCCATCTTCTTGAACATTGGTAACAAGCCCTCTATGGCTTGATATATGATGCACTAGACGGAGCTAAGAAGGAAAGAGAAAAGAGTTTGGGCAATGATGAGGCCAAGTATGACCAAATTTGGGAGATTATAGCTGAAAAGTGGGAAAGGCAAGCAGCTTCATAGACCATTGCATGCAGTTGGGTACCATTTGAAGCCAAAGTTTTTTAAGCTGACCTGTTTATTGAGAGGAAAGATACAATTATGGATGGAATTAATGAGTGCCTTGAGAGACTTGTTCCTATGCCAGAAATACAAAATAAGATATATGCTGAGGAACTCATTTGGTGTAAGTGTGCATTAAAGTCGTTCCGGAAAGAAAAGGAGGTGCGACAATGGATCAAATCAGATCCATGTAATATATTTCAGTAGAAAATTTTGTTTCAAGTTTCTAATGACTAATGTTGTATTTTAGATTCGCCAAAATTCTTTATGATAATGCTAAATGAATTATCGAGATTGCAAGCAAGTTGCAGCCCACTAGAGGAGGCAACATGGAAGTAGCGCTCCAAACCTCCAGAAGATGGTTGTTCAAGGTCTTGAGTTTAACAACTAGCACTTCTAATCGTGAGCAGAATTGCAGTTCGTATGAAATGGTATGTTTAGTTGAGATTACTTTCTATTATAGAAGATAGAGAGATTTAGTACGAATTTAATTATGCTTCTACAATTTTAATTTAAATCTTTCAATGAATCGGGCTTGGGCTGGAGTGGTTAGCAATTGATGTTTAGCAGTTCCACATCTCAAGCTTAGTTACTATCATTGAACTGCCCAAAAAAAGAAAAAGTTCTCTTTAAGTCCAAATTTTAAAATCTAGAGGAGTCCAATAGTAGTACTAGTAGTACTCATGCATTTTTTCTTATAGGTGAGAAGTAGGCTTGAGCAAATGAAGATCAATGAATTGGTATTTGTTAGAGAGAAATAGAGGCTTAGGGAGATGTTCAATCAGGAGAAGAAGGATCTCATTACTTCTAAGACACGGACCATGCTACTGAGTGGTTGGTTGGAGACCCTGGGATGGAAGAGGTCTTCCCTAAGGGAAGTTTGACTTAGCATATGATTGAGGAGGCTTCAGGTCCAGCTTCTGATTCTAGAAGGCCACTCGAGCATTAACTGCAGCTGGTACTTCACAAAGGGTGATGAGGTATACAGAGCAGGATAAGGGAGATTCAGAGGAAACTGATGAAGAAGGACAATATGTTGAAGAGGTTGATGATTTTGATGATGATGGCCTCGATACAGATTGAAGTGCAAGTGATGATGACGATTTTGGCTGATTATGATGGAAGAATCAAAGATCTCCTCTATCTTTTGTATTTCATCTGAACTTTTATATTGCATCATCTTGAATTGGTTTTATACTTTTATTGGAGAATTCGAGTCCATGTGACTATTCCTATGTGTGTGTAACTGTGTTTCATGATTGTATGTTACAATGGTGAATTGATTGGGGAGTTGGAGACAAATACAGTATAAACGTGTTTACGTTTTTCACTAAATTTTCAATGATTTGAAGTTTAAAATATATTCAAACATTCATGCATATATATTTGTGTAAAAAAAGTAAACATATAAATGAAAAAAATACAAAATTAACAAAACTACTGCATATAAGTGCGCATTTGGACAGCACATATATGCATATTTCTGAAATTTTTTCACTTGAAGGCACCTAAGGTTCTTGGTGCCTGCCAGGCTGGCTGCCTAGGAGCCACCTAGAGCTTTCTGAAAAAGAAAAAAATAAGAACTTTCACCAGAGAAAAGGTCCAAATGAGTCCCACTCCAACAATGAATGCATATCATCCATTTGGTGGGCATCTAAATCTTGGCCTTTAAGATTTCAAAAATCATTATTGTCTTTTCTAAAATTGTCCATCTAATGATGAAAAGGCTGTAATATCTGGGGACAAAGAAATTCCCCAAGGCCCAGAAGTAACAATCCCATCAAATGGACAGCCTACATTCGTTGTGTTGAAAAAAAAAAACAGTCATTTGTTTTTGTTCATAGGGATAAAAGAGTGTACGTTTAAGATATGGGGTCAAACAAGTGCCCTTAATAACATTTTTGAAGATGTGTTTTACTATATAATTATGAAACCATTTCACAATATAATTCCCCATATAGACACACGCACTTGTATATATGTACACACATTTATATACACATAACCATTCAAAATTCAAGTACAAAGTTAGCAATGGAATGCAAAGTCATGGAAACCAAAGTCCAAGAGGATGATAGGATGAATATCATACCGACGATAGCAGTAAAAAAGTGGGCCATGTAAATCAGCATAAGACCTTCTGTGGGCCCATTTACTTCTGGAAGAATTAGGGTGTTTGTGAAAAAGCTGTTACAACATTCTGATGTCAGAAAGATGCCTTAAAAGTCATGCTGATATGCTTTAGTTGATTCATAATCCAAAGACAGGGCATATTGGCAGTAAGAAACGTGCAGAATTTGAAACACGCAATTTCATGTAGGCTTGGGGTAAATATGATAGTTCTCTATCTACAATTTAGGGAGAAAAATATTTGTGAGTATGTCTTAAGAAAAAAGGAAAAGGTGCGACTTATTTGGCTAAACCAGAGGAGATAATCCAGTTGATACAGTGTTCATAAACAGGCACCCATTGTCATGTCCTTTGAATGTGCCCAAAACATCAGATCAGTTCCATACATTTTTCAGAATTCCACTCGGCAGGCAGAGAATTCTACTACACATACAAGTCACAACATGAATAGTGGTTCGCTCGTAGTGAAATTTATGGAACTGCAAGAAGTTGTAACATAAGAAAGGGTGTGGTTTGCATAAGGTTGCGACCTTAACAATCAAATTAAGGTGCACCTCCAAATTTTATCATAATATGTAATTTCGGTGTAAAAAATTCTTAGGATGGCCTGAAAATCTATTTTTGTCTCTACTTATAAAATTTTAAACTCCAAAAATGGTTCAAATCAAGTAGATCTATAAACATATGAAAAACTTGAAAATGGAGAGTCCAAATAATGTGTTGCAAGATGCACTATTTTTTAGACTCGAAATCTTATTTATATATATATATATATGGGAAATGGTAGCATAGGCCCACTAGCCTACAACTACATGTAGGCCCAATGACCCAGAATGAATCTGGGCCGATCTAATGAGTAATGATCAAGATTTCACTTCGTATTTTAATTTTAATTTTAATTTTTTTATATAAATCCAAATCACTTGAAATTTTGAACGTGTGTTCTTTAAAAATATTAGAATCCAATAAAAATATCAAAAACATATTTCGTGAAAAATAAATCGATCAAAACACCATCGAAATATTGCAGAGGATTTTGGTCAATTTATGTTTTGCGAATTATTTTTTTAATATTTTTATTAGGTGCGCGTTAATGAGAAGAACAAACGCCTAAAATTTCACATAATTTGGATTTGTAGAAAAAAAATTAAAATTAAAATACGAAATGAGGTCGTGTCCATCAGATCGACCCAGATTGAATCTGGGCCGTTGGGCCTATATGTAGTTGTAGGCTAGTGGGCCTACGCCAGCATTTCCCTAT